CTGCTTTTGAAACAGCCTAAAATGCTACAAGCCAAGTCATCCTACCTGGAGTAAACCAGAGCTTGATCATCTTGGTGCCTGTTGGGAAACAGGTGAGGCTATCATGCCAATGGGACAGGATTGAAAGGAAAGAAAAGAGCTTTTCCTGGGGTCCAGCAAGGCTGTGTGGGTGTGCGATTACTCCAGGGAGTCACAGAGTGTTTGCTGGATTGAAAGCAAACCTGGAAGAAAAGACCTACCTGCCAGGGAGGAGTTAGTTGCAAACCCTTTTATTTCTGCTCTGTCTCATTCTGAATTTTCTCTGTTCGAAGAAGTTCAGGTGTTCTGATAAAACCCAGCTCAAAAGTCTGCAAGGCTTTGTGGTGATTTGTTGTGAAGCCTTGAGGAAAAGGTGGAGGCAGGCTCTCCTAAGGCCTGGCTCAGGACCCTTGCTCCTGCAGAAGGGAATAATGCATGCAGCGTATTGCTGGCTGTTATTAATAATAGAAACGATGATAAGAAAATACCTCTGGGAGCATCAGGTTTTGTATCTTCTTCAGCCTTCACATCTCAGAAGTAAACTATTACATTGCCAACACTCAGTACAGGGTTGTTTTGAAAGTTCATCAAAGGTCATGATTTGTTTGCTTTTGGCCAATTTGCTCCTCCCTGTGTTTGCATCTGCTTCTGGAAGCAAATGTCTTTTCAGCTTCCATGCCAATGCCAGCAGTGGCTGAAGGACTTCCAAGGTGCCTGGGTGCAGGGGGGATCTTGACCACCGCTCTGCCTCAAGGTTGCGGAACCAAACATTTAGAGTCCCCAGTTCTGATAACTCCCATCAGGCATGTCTGCCTCAGGGCTAATATCAAGCCTGATACCACCTCTGGCTTTCAGGCAGGAAAGCCAAGAAGCCAAGCATCAGATTCAGTGAAAATGTCTGAACCTAGCAGGGAAAACCTGTAGTTTTGCATGCAGACCTCTCAGCTTGCAGCAGTAATCTATCACACTACTGCTTCCAGCGGTACCTGGCTAATACGTATTATGTACAGTGGCCAGAACTCTCCTTGGAGAAGGGAACAGGGCTTAGGAGTATTCAGCATCTGTGCATGAGTGTGTTCAACTATGTGTGTCGTTCAACTGCTAGTCCAACCCGAGAAATGATAGTTTTCCTACTAGACATGTTGGCACGGGCTGACAGCTTGGGACTTCTCAACCTTTGCCGGAGGTAAAAGGGAAGAGGCTGGAGAATTCATTGCTTTGGAGCGATTGCCACTGCCACATTGAAGGCTAACACAGCAGGAGGCTTTCTGCTCAGCAAGAGGTGCTGGCAAACCTCACAGAAAGGAGTGATCGATATAAGAAAGCATGAGTCTCTGGACCCTATGGCTTACAGAAATCTGTAACCACTGAATTATTAAATAAGAAAATTTCTGTGGTTAAGAATTTTTTCACTAAGCTTTTGTTTCCCTGACAGTCTCCCAGAATAATTTAACCAGAAACATAAGGTATTTATTAGATTTCTGGGGTGGGTGAGGATGTAAAGTCAGAGGCAGAAGCATCAGGACTGGGCTGCCGGTCTGTAGAGTTGTGTGTCCCGAGGAGGGATGCTCCTCTTGGTGAGACAAAGGGTTAGAAGCAGTGCAAATATTTCCCAGGCTCACACGATTTGCGCGCTTATGAAACCACAGTCAAATACGACTGCTCAAACAGCAGTGCTGGATAAGGATCTTTCCACGAAAAGCCTACCAGATCTTTCTGTAAACTAGGGGGAGGCAGGCAGGCAGGCATGTTTCATCAAGAGTTCAGTGTAGTCCAAAACAAGAAAGCAAGCCTCTACTATTTAAAGTTACTGATATTCAAAGTTATTGAATGGGACAACTCCCGCACAGCCCTGCTGTGCTCCCTCTTTGCAGGCCTGGCAATATAACTGGGAACCCAAACACCCGGACTGAGAAACTGCCTCTCCGTCTCCATTAAGGCTACTTTCATGATTCAGGTTATTGTCAAGCACTGTTTGCATCTCTTCCTTCCTGATGAATAATTGTTGCTGTCAACTTGCTCTTATTCCATTTATTATATAGGTTGCTTTATTTGTTTTTATTACTTCTTTCATCTTCCATCTAATCAAGGTGTATTTCCATTGCTTTTTTAACCAGTGCAGCCTTTTTGAATGCATTTAAGGCATCTTTTAAGGTGTTCTTAAGCAACTCTAGATTAATCACGTAAATATTTCTTCTTATGATTCTCCCCCCATTTTCTAAATGTTTTTAGCTTGTCCCTTCTCAGATCATGGTAGATGCCTGCATCAATGTCTAGGCATGTATTTTTTTATACATACTGAACGAAATCAGGGTACAGTGCACCTGGATAATTGCTAATGAGCAGTTTAGCTCAGCTTAACTCCATTTTATTTCATCCTAAACCATCCGAAGAGGGGATAAGACAGTAATATCCAGGAGGTAATGAATACTTCCAGTCGGCAAGTAATCAGTTCGTTTTCTAAAGCTTCAGGGATGTATGATTAGGAGCTGCTCAAGATCCCCCAGGAGCTGTGCCTGGAGCCACAGCAATGTCGGTATGTTTTGTTCATTTGACGTTTAGTGCAACTAGCATCAGTCCATCTTCATTGCTCCCTGTAGGATATATTATAAGGATAAGGAGGAAAACTCTCCTTCTAAAGATGCAACTCAAAAATCCGCAGTCCAACGGTACAGGCTGAGAAGTAGCAAGTTACCATGTATTGGGTGTCTCACAGTAGATAACGGGGGCTGGCTCTTGCCTCCTGGCAATTTCTTAAAGAGAAAATAAATCGTGAAACTTCCTCCCCAGTATAACTGCATGTTGGCTGTTGCCTTGGACCTAATAATCTGATGAGGCTGTGCATCTGGGAATGTGTCCATAGCTTAAGTGTTCTGGTTCTATGTTCATGACCAATGGTGCAGTACTATATTATATTTTCCTATCACTACATCATGTCCCCAATGCAAATTACGCACATCATTAACCACAACCGTTGCTCTCAAAGGGACAAAAAAATCCTAAAGAAAATCATCTTTATGTGAAGCCATGATGTTTTCTTCTAAAGGGCTTCCTTGTGGATGCTGGAAGACCTGTATGTCCTCTTTCTCTTTGGTCTGGAGAGCTGGCTGAGAGCCCCATTAGTTCATGAATGGCAGCACACGGCGCCCATTGGTCCTCGGCTGCAGGTGAGCTGTGCTGAGTTACCTGCAGCAGCTGCAGTCAATCCCCAGCATGCTCCCACCCAGTGTTAGATAGGTGCTGGTAGCACTGCCCTGATGTAGGTCTGACACCGAGGGTGGGATCCATCTGGTGAAGGTGGACATGGGACCAGGCACCACCAGCTCCTTTTCTAGTTGATGCAAATGAAGACAATGGCACAGCTCAGTTCATCCTAAAGCAAATGTTAGAAGAACGGTAGGTGAACCATACACCCAAAAGTACTTTTTCTCCCCACTGTCTGTGAAGGAAGCCAAGGGTAACCAGCTTGGACATCTTGCTTGGATGTCTAACACAGCCAGAGATGAATCCCTGCCACGCTCCTGGATTTCAAGAAATGTAAAGGGACAAAGGGCTGTAACAGCTCCATACCATGGGTACTTTGGTGTTGAATGCCACCTCCTTTCCAATTTCTCCTTCCTTTCTGCTCACTCTTTTCCCTGTTCAAAGAGAAAATAGTCATTTTAGACTCAGTCATCAGTTCACCCCCATCAACAGTAAGTGCGTGATGCTTCTGCTCCAGTGTGAGTGGGATTTTCCAGCCCCTCCTATCACCTAGATTCCTGAAGCTGGTTTAGAGTAAAGCATCTTAAAACCTTCTCCTGTAGAATTTTCCCCCGCAAAAATGAGACCTCATGAAAATAAATAATTCCCACAAGAAATTTCAATTTGATTACAAATATTGACTTGTTTGAGGTTTTTTTTTTTTTTTAAGAAAAATCCATTTGGAAACAATATATTAAAATTAAACATGTATGTTTCACTCTGTTATAGTACTTAACTTGGAAAAATATTGTTTTTGTTTCCAGTGTTTGGGGATTTTAGGAGTTTCTTCCTCCCATATTTTTCTCCAAGAGCTGAAAAAAAGATGTCTTAAAATTGACCAAGTAGGAAAAAGATGTTAATTTTAAAGGAGTTAAAAGAAAATTTAATGTAAAATTTTGCACAAGATTTTCATGCTTCTAAAAATACATATAGATACATATTTTAAAACATTTGAGAATAACAGCAACTCTCCTCTGGTTTTCGACAGAGACCTCACTCAAGTTTATAAAAATAAGGAAGAGCAGGGACAGATATTTCCACTCCTCTCTTACCCTTGCCTTTTCCACAGAGGAAGTTAACAACAAAGCAAAGAAAGGGTTGTGAAAAACCCAACTCTAAAACAAAAACACAAACAAAGCGATGAGTTTAGCTTGCCATTTTAATTTGCTGCAGTTGAGGCTTTGAGGTGAGGGAGCTCTAGGAAAACGCTCTACCACAAAAGCTCTCATGAGAAAGACTTGGAGGATATGTTTGACCGAAGCCATGGGAGCTGCCTGAGATCCAGAGGCACCGGCCGGAGCAAACACCCTAGGAACAGTCGCACGGGGCCAAGGTGCTCGGACGGTCTCAGTCACCCACGTGCTGAAATATGGGAGCTAGGCAGACAGGTGGGAAGGACTCAGTGCTCCACCAGCTTAGCAGCAGCGCTGAGTTGTTGCATGGGCTCACTGTGATTTCTCGCTTGAACCGATAAGCATAGAGAGCCTCAGCACAGATTTAGGCACCTAGAGAAGCTTTTCCCTAAAGGCTTCTAAGCCAGTAGGTGATTTCACGGATCATTCCCCTCAATTTAGGGCTCATGTTGCCCTGAAGTTGTACTTCAGACACCTACATGTCCTTCTTGGATTTGGTCTTGATGGACAAAGTAAAAACCAACTGCTTATGACTTTTTTTTTCCCCTTCCCCAGAGCACCCTTTTTCCCCACTGAGAATTAACCGCTTGATCTCAGAGACACAAAAGTCAAGATGAGCAGTTCTGGAAACCTAATGCGTTTCAGGAGCAGATTGTGCAAGTCGGAAACTGCTCTGCTTCTGCCGGTTTGCAGGTAGAAAAAGGTAAGAAAGAAACCAATTCAGTCACATCTGACCTAAGGGCTTTGTCGGGGGAGCTGGGGAAATTGTTCTTGCTGTGGAAAGACCCTCGTGAGCCCTGTGGCATATGTGTTTTTCAAGGGGGAAGGAATGGATAGGAGGACGAACAAGAAGAATTAACAGCAACCTCCTCCTAACGAAAATAAGGTTTCCGTGTACTGACGTTCGTCCTGTGAGAGGTATTGATGGGGGTCAGCCTTCGGCCAAACGTGCCTCTAGTGATTTTTTTTTAATCCCTTCTTGCAAATGCACACCCTGAAATAAAACAAACCTGCTTATTTTTAAACTAAAGAATGATTGTCAAAGGCGAGCCGGTCTGGAGACAGGGCTCCCTGGAAGCCCAAACCGCAGGGGGAAGAGGGTAAAATTCTCCCCAGAGCGAAGGGCTGCCCGCAGCAGCCTACGTCCCTCCTAAGATGAGATCCCTGGGCTTCGGCAGAGACAGCGCTCGCTGAGGGCATTTGGGCATCAATCAGAAACTATGCTAGACTGTGGAGGCGCTTTTTAGCAGCGCTCTATTAATAGACATGGATAACAAATTGCTGATAGCAAATGCAAAGAGCCCTCAGACTAAGGGCCCGTTTGCCAAGGAAGCGTTGCCCCTGCGCACATGACAGCACAGCAGCCGCCGGTCGCAGCAGGAGGCATCAAGAGCGGCTTGCTCTCCCTGGCAGGAGAGCTGCACTCTTACATCAAAGCACAAAAATAAATGCCTGGTCTATTTACCATGGCAAAGATGCAGTTTCTACACCTCCCCAGCCATAGCAGGGCGTTCAGGTGAGCCAGTGGTGGCTTCCAGTAATAAGTGTTCAAGCATGTCTTATGCTGTGCGCCGAGCAGCAAAGCCTGGAGAGCAGCAGCTACTGGTGCCGGTCCCCCACGAGTGATGTTTGCCCTCGGCTCCGAAGCGGTGCAACTGTCTGGTTCTCTCTATGTGATTCCTCAATATTCTTTCTCAAATAATTACATGCATTTCATATACGCTATTCTGTGCAGATGTGATTAAGCTCTTTAGGATGAATAATGCTACCAATGAAGATAACCTCTCTTAAGGTTAATTAATCATTTGTAAACTGACCTTTGGATATATAGATTATTCATAAGTACTCCTGAACTAACAGGCCAGATCATTTCCAGCTATAGGGTTTTTTTTGTAGAAGTCTTTGGTTATTCATTAACCAAGGGCTACTGCTGAAGTTCAGGGAGAGCAGTGCCCATGGGTGCCACCTTCATGCTAGGTGCCCACACCTGCGCTTCTTCCCAAACGGAGCCCCAGTTTAGGCCGGGCCATGACCTGGCAGTGCCTTTTCTATCCTATCTGCATATTTCTTCCACGAAGTATGACTGACCTTAAACTATCTTGAAGGCTCCTCTCCAGGAGCTGTGACATTTAAAAGTGCAGTGACAGAAAATAACTTCTTCTAAAAATATATGTAACTTATTTATCATCCCAAGGAGAGGGAGAGAAGAATTTAAATGAAGGCATGCATATACATCGCTCTGCTCAATTGTAACTTTTCGCTGACGCCACCTGGTAGCACCGTGCTCTCCTCAAGCCAAGCTGTGCCCTGCTTTACCGCAGCGCTTGAAGTTTTTGCCCAGGCAGGCTCTGGACCAGCTGAGGAGGAGCAGGGATAAGGACGGAGGGAGTCGGTACGTGTCTCTTCAGGCTGCAGGAGGCAGCTTGATCAGCCCAGCGCTGGCGAAACTGCAGAGGAAGGCCCCGGTCTCTGGAGACAGGAGGAGCCAATTTAACATCTTGCGGCCACCGAAAGTGGGAGGCAGGAAACAATAAGCTGGCATTTACTGAGAAAACACCTCATGGATCTTCCTTTATCAGACTACATGCATTTGAGAACAAACAAAAAAATCGGTTGCTAAACGTAAATCAGTGAGCTCAGTGCTCAGGAAACTCTGTGCATCTCTCAGTGGGGAAAAGGCTCCTCCGCCTTGTACCTTCGCAGACGGACAGGAGCAAGAGCAGGCCCAGCCCAAACAGACTCTTCACCCCTTTTCCCACCGCCTTTCCCAAAGCTAAAGCGTAGCTATGAGGGAGTCTCCTGAATGTGAGACGTTCGTGTATCTTTAATTATTGTTTCAGCCACATAAATCAATGCGGAATTAAAATTCATGATGGTTCTAGGGTACAAGTGCAAACAATTTGTTCGGTAAACTTTGCTCTAATTGGCATTCTGAAAATTTCCTGTTAATCAAACCCCTTGGGCTCAGTTTAACAGCGTAGTTCTGTCTGCGAATGTCAGTGCTTGGAGGGTGTGTGCATGTATGCTGACTTCAAGGGTCTTCATATGATATTAACTCATACACTTTGTCCTGACATTAATTTGCAAGTAATTTTTTAACAGCCTTCTGTGGCCCTGCCTATTATCTCACTACCTCATTATTTGAGGCAGGCAAGTGAGTGGAAGAATAGTTGTAAAACCCGAAGCAAAATTACACTTAAACATTTCTAGGATCTGAACGGGAAACACCTCTGAATGCATCTGAAATCCGTCCCTGAGGGAGATGGGTTTCCAGTGGCACTTGGCTTTAAGTGGCCATGGGAGAAATGTGAAGAAATTCAGGCCAGCATAATAAATGTCAGGGGTACGAGTCATGCTGCTATCTGAAGGCCTTGGCCAAATACGCCCAGAAACTGAGCTACGAAGATGGGTAACGCTGTCGTTCCCTTGAGCCTATGATATGAGCGTTGCCTGAGAAGTAAGACATGAGTTGAGCTGATTTTGTCATCGCTGTCCCCATGTGTGTGGAGAGAAGAATGTCAAAAATACCTGTTAAGAAATCAGGCCTCTGCTCTTCTCTGCCGGGACGTCCGCGTGGCCCCACCTGGAACCCCTCTTGGAAGGATTTTAGCAGCTTTCCAGTTTCTGAGGCTGTGAAATTGTGCTGGGATCACTGCTAGGCTGGTCCTTAATTCAAGCCCCAAGAGACAGATGGAAAAGGAAAAGCTACACAAAACTGGCGTATCTTTTCCTACCTGCACAGACATGGGTAAGACAGAAGAATAAGGATAACGAGCGTCTGACAAGCAGAGATCAGGGAGCTCGCAGAGACGCTCTCTTGGCTAGAAATGTGTGGTAAAGAGATGCGAGAGAACTGGCAGTTCCCAGAAGAGAATAGAGATAGTGCACAACAGCACACTGTTCCCCCGTGCAAGGAGATAAGAAGCATAATTAGATGGCATTACAGCTGCATCAAGATCTGGAAGCTGGAAAGAAATCATACGGAAAGTGGAAGCGGGGGCACATGACTGAGGGGGAGAATGCAGGAATAGTACGTGCTCACGGCGTGAGACCGGCTGACTCTGTGACCAAGGTTTCAGAGGCAACCAGCAAGAGTCTCCAAATTAATTAGATGTAAAAGGAAAACAACGTATAGGTGCATTGCTATCTAGGGAAGAGCAGAGCGCAGGCTGTGCATTCAAAGCAGAAATTTGCATCGTCTCCCTTGCTTCAGCTTTTATAAAAAGGTTAACTGTGAATGGAACTCAATGGAACGGGCTTTA